CTAGATAGATCTATTAGTTCTTTTTCGGATGGACATTGAGAGCCCAGTCCTGTCTCCTGCCACCCTTTCAGCCTCTTATACACCAGAGATAATCATTTCTCTCATGGAGATCAAGGATGATTCTCCAATTAATTAATCAATTAGTTCAACACACAATTATTAAGCACCAATAACTGCAGACCCTGACAAAGCCAGTTTAGTCAGGAGAAGGCTGCCAGACCAGGGTCATCTTTTGAGATGATCCAATTGAGTGGGAATGAAGTAAGTGGGAGGTCACTTAGCTCAGATCTTCCCCTCCAAACATGGGCCACTGCAGCTCCGGCAGGAGGGACTGCGGGGCAGAGGCAGTGGTGGGTACTGCAAGGCTGGTGGGTGGGTGGAGTGGGGGGACCTCCTCCTCCTGGAGGTGGGGGTGGGGCACTGGGTGTGGTAGACCCCTGCTTTCCTCACTGTACCCCAGAGACTAGAGGCACTCATGAGTGACAAGGAATCTTTTTGGTTTTTGTGCAAGTCAGTCCTGGACTGCATAAGGACACCCTAACTCTGAAAAAGTGTTTTAAGCCAACTTGGGGTGCTGTGTCTCCCACACCCTCATCCTCAAGCAGTGTGGCCTCATGCATTTACACGCACGCACGCACACCCATCGATCCCTCTTCCCTGGTAGGCCAGCCAGGGCTTCCGAACCAGTAGGACAGCTTGGTGCAGAGAAGGTCCCTTCCAGCCTTCCCTGGGGGAAACCAAGCAGCCCTCCGATTTTTTTGGCCAAGTCGGGGAGCTCCTTTTGAGCTCCTGCTCAGAATTCCCAAACACCAGGCACCTGAAGTCCCTGAATCTCTAGGTCCCCCTGGCTTGGGGCTTCTGGGGCCTGAAAGAATTTGATTCCTTGGAGTCTTGCTACCTGGTAGGGTGGAGAGAACACTGGACTTTGCAAAGTCAGACTTGGGCTCAAATCTCAGCTCTGTCTTCTTCCAAATGGTTGAGTGAGGACAAGTCATGGGATCATTCTGAGCCTCAGTTTTCTCATCAATAAAATGGGAGTGGTAACCCCTGGTCTCCCAAGTGGCTGTAAGGATTGAGATTGGAGATTCGAAGAAACTAGGTAGAGCACCTTAATGAGTCTGCTCTTAATGAATATTAAGTGAACCAACCTGACAGCTGATGAGGTGGCTCGAGACAGGAGCCCAGAAGAACCTGGGACCTGGAAGAAAACTGTGTGATCCATCATCAACTGCTGGTCAGAAGAGCAGCCTTTTGTGGAGTGCCAGGGGACAGGGCAGACAGGAAGGTGTCAGAAAGAGGGGGATTTCTCTCCTGCTGCAATAGACTGAATTGTGTATCCTCAAAATTCTAAAGTTAAGGTCTGACCCCTCAGTACATCAGAGGATAGCTATATTTGGAGGTCACCTTACAGTGGTGACCAAGGTAAAATGAGGTCATATGGGTCGCCCTGATCCACTGTGACTCATGTCCTTACAAGAAGAGGAGATTGAGACAGACACACAGAGGGAAGGTAGTGTGAAGACACAGGGAAAAGACGGCCATTGCTAAGCTGAGGAGTGAGGCCTCAGAAGATGCCAACCCTGTGGACACCTTGACCTCAGATTCCAGCTCCAAAGCCCATAGGAGATGAGTTCCTGTGGTTTGAGCCACCTACTTTGTTTTGGCAGCCTGAGCAGACTAATGCACCTGCCCTTTGGTCAGGAATGTCTCTAACTATAGTGAGACCTTTGACTGTGTTGCTGGACAGGAGAAGAGTCAAGAGTTCTGCTCATTTCCAATGATGGCTGCTGTCCTAGGATGGCACAGGAGCCCTCAGTGGACAGTGAACAGTGGTTGGCATCGGTGCTGTGATCCCGACCATAGGCCCGGCCATGGGCCCCCACAAACCATCCTTCCCATAACTAAGCATCCTCTATGATCCTGCAACCTCAGTTCCAGAAGCCTCTCTGTGACCCTCAGTGATAACTGAACCCACTTCCCAGGTTCTCAGCCCTGTTTCTCTTCCAGCCTGTCGTTTCCTTCACTTGGGTGTCTGCAGATCTGCGCAGACATGCATGTGGAGTGCATGCCCGCACCCCATCTAGCCTCCACCATCAGACTGGGAACTCCCAAGGGGATCTGATCACATTCCTTCCTCCCTTCCCACCTGCCTCTGGTGCCCACCCGAATCAAACTACTTATAGTTTCTCTGTTTGGCAAGATCTCAGAGGCCGGTGGGCGGGGGGGATAACTCCTAGGTTTTTTTGTAAAGGCCCCTCCAAAGAAGGGCTCATGACAGCTGGGCAAGTGAGGTATCCTGTCACATTGTCAGGAGCTGGTGGCCTGGAGGCCAAAGTTCCAGGCAGTTCCAGTTCTGCACAGTGCTTCTATCCCTTTGGGAGCAGCTGTATGATGGGAATAAAAAATCATATTCCACATGGTCTCTGAGTGGGAAAACTGTGGCTGCAGCCACATGGGGGTCAATGGGAAAGTGGGGCAATGGAAGATGATAACAGGGGACCCTTCTCCCCAGTGTCTTCTCCTTGGCCCTAACTCTCCCTGGGAGGAGCCTCAGGGCCAAGCTGCAGCCTCATTATACTATGACTCTGCATGCGAGAGGGGTATTAATAATGCATGCAAATCTGCAAGTTAAATGCTATGTCAAAAATAGAAATGCAATTGTCTACAATAAAATTAAAAACATAAAGTCCTCAAATCCAAAGATTTCTATCAACAGAGTTTCCCATCATCTGGAAGAACAAACCTCTCACTGTGTTAGGGAGAGGGGGAAAAATGCCTCTGCCTGGTGGCTTCCCGCCCTCTCTGCCACCGCCAGCCTGCAGCAGCCTCTCTCCAGAGGGCTGGATGGGCTCAGGGTCTGCTGGGGCTTATTCTCCTTCATCACCTCCCCATCCCACCTCCCCCACCCACTCCTGGGTCTATAAGGATCCAGTCTGCCCATCCGCAGATCTCTGAGAGGGCCTTGCCAGAGAACTGTTCAGCGTAGAAGAAATGGACAGGGACGTAAGGGCATCAGCTCTTTGTCTTCCCCCAAAAAGACCAACACAGGCAGCCAGGGCTGGCCCTCAGGAGTCCAGAGACCCGGATTCTGGGTCTATTTCCCTCATAATCAGGGATATGGCCTTGGTGTCACTAGCCTCCCTACCCTTAACTCCATCATCCAAGAGAGGAAGGTTTGTACAGACCAGTGGTGTTGAAATCTCTTAAAGCTAAGACACCCCCCACCTTTTTTTTTTTGTATAGGGGATTGAACCCAGGATTGCTTTACCACATCCCCAGCCCTTTCTTAATTGTTTATTTTGAGACAGGGTCTTACTAATTTCTTAGAGAGCCTCACTAAATTGTTGAGGCTGGCCTCAACTTGTGATCTTCCTGTCTGAGCCTCCTGAGCCACTGGGATTACAGGTGTGCACCACAGTGCTTGGCTAGGACACCCTGTTTTTATGTGTACTCTTATCTAGAACTCAAATACAGAAAATAGATTAAGACAGAGCAATGGGGATAGGGTGGGAGCCAGAGTCCTAATTATTAGCCCTCCGACTCCCATTCTCTTCCTAAGAAACTGTAGCATTGTGTGGAAGAAAGAAAGAAATCCTATGGTTTTGTTCAATTATTTCCAAATGCAGACATGGCTGGCTTCTTCGGAATCATCTGGGAGCTTATTAAAGACAGAGATCCCAGCCGGCTCAGGTGGAGCCAGGGAATCTGTATTTAGCCAATCCCATCCCCTCATGTACTCCAGTGTGCAGCTCAGTTAGGATACTGCTGGACCACATGCTCCCCAAGGTCCTTTCCTTCTCTAAAACATTCTGCCAAGGCTGTGCCTGCCTCCCTGGGCCTGCAGTTGTTCACCCTGGCTGCTCCTGTGCCCTCTGCATTCACACCCTCCTGAAATATCCTGCTTCTGCTCAGCAGCCCTGTCGTTGGGACCTAGGGGAGGGCTGTACCAATGAGCCCCCCACCAAAATGGGGTATGTTTCTGGGGACAGAGGCAGGATACAGCTTGGGAAATTCAGCCTCAGTGATCTAGCAGCTGCTTTGGAGCCTCAGGGAACAGGGAAGCAACTGATGGGCAGAGCTGGTTGGCTGAAAGGGGGCTTATGGGTAGCCTTTGGCATCCAGAAATGTAAAGCAGGCAGCCAAAGATGCCTCAGCATTTGCAAAGCTGAGACGTGCACGGTCTCATCTGAGGCTCCTGCCAACCATGGCAGCCGTGCAGGGCAGTGTTTACTGTTGTTACATCAGCTCTGCACATGGAATGCAGACACCAGGGAAACTGAGGCTTTCTCTCAGGGTCAATGTTGGACACGAGACCTGAATTTAGGCCTCTAAGGTTGTAAATCCTATCCCCCTTTCCTGCAATGGTTGATCTAGACACAAGACCTGGGTTGGTTGAGACTGTATCAGAAGCACCTGGGATGATCATTAAAATACAGATTCTGGGGCCCACAGCATCTGATGTGTGAGAACACGGGGGTAAAGTATTATGAATTCAAGTGAACCATATCCTGCTGTCTCTCCTTCCCTAGCCTCTTCTGCCATTTTTGCTCATATGAGCACCTATGCCCAAACACAGAGACAATCTTTTTTTTTTAAAAAAAATATTTTTCTCTTTTTTTAGTTGTAGATGGACACAGTACTATTTATTTATTTATCTTTATGTGGTGCTGAGGATAAAATCCAAACATGTGAGGCAAGCACTGCACCACTGAGCCACAACCCCAGCCCAACAGAGCTAATCTCATGAGAAAAATTTCTCTCTTTTGCCCATGACAAATCACAGCGGGGAGGTTAAGTAACTAGCTTTGGCCACATGGTACTTAGATTGCAGACCTGGGGCTCCAAGCTGTGTCCATGACACCATTGACAGAGTCTAATAATCCTTGTGACCATAAATGGGGGACTACTCAGGGTGGGAGGGGAATCTAACTTTTTAAGATGCATGTGAGAGATGCTTAGACCTTTATAGTGTCCCACCCTGAACCTGAAAGCCCACCTACCGTCCAACCTGGAGGGCAGGCACACTCGCCAGTGATGTGGTGACAGGTGCCCCCATTCTGGCAGGGGCAGCGCAGCTCACAGTGAGCTCCATGGCTCCCAGGGGGGCACAGCTCCTCGCAGCTGCATGGAGAAATACAGTGTTAGATATAGCAGCATTCAAATCTCTGCCCCAGTGCTACTAGTCCCAATGATCCAGGGCTTCCTGGGAGGCAAGTTACTTAGGAATTAGTGTGTCCACACACAGGGTGAAAAGTATTAGGCTCAGGGTAAGCTGAGATGCAGTACTCTTCCCTGCCAGTAGGGGGAAGCAGGGCTCAGATATAATATTCTGGAATATAGTGTACTTGGGCCAGTATTTGAGGGATGACTTAAATGTTCTTAGTATGAAAAAGAGTGCTCTGGAGAGGAGGCTGAGGAAGACTTTCCTAAGAGGAATGAATTTTTCTTGGGGCTTGGCGAAATTAATTTCAAGAGCATGTCAGGCAGAAGGAACAGCATGAGCAAAGGCACGGAGGAGTGCCTATGGATCCTTCCTGCCTTTAAGAATCTGCCTATATTCAGAGAGGGACAGAATCTAGGACATGTCTCTTCCAGGCTCTGAAAGGCTCTCTGCCAGGTGTGGGGGAGAATGTGCATGGAGTCTCAGCCTTGGATCTTCATCCAATGGCCCCGGCCTCTAGCTCAAAGGGTCCTGGGAGCTGGTCAGGCATTAGGGCAGGGAGAACCTTCAGTCAAGGATGTCTCTGGTCAGAATCCTTGACTGCTCCCTTGGGATCTAGGGCTGTTGGAGAGGTCACAGAACCTTCAACAGGATTAGGGGGAGAAACTCAATCACCTGTGAGAAGGCTCAGCAAAGCAATCTTGGAGGTCCCCTGTCAATATGGAGTCTCCAGGGAACTGGGATGAAGGGCTGTTTGGGGTCTGACAAGGGAAAGTGGGGAAAGGAACGGGCACAGTAACCCTCCCAAATCTGCACATGATATATGCCCAGGGCTCTCAACCCCTCTCTATATCTCAAATGGCCTAGAAGGGTCAATCAGGCTCCAGGTGAGCAGAGGCATATGAGTTAAGGTCAGAAGAGAATTCCAACCTAATGGCTGAAGCCCCTCACCAGGAAGTGCCCTCTGGGAAGCCCTTTCAACTTGAGCACTTTAGGCCACCCAGGCACAGTCTCAGGTGGAGATCTGGATCTGAGATCCGTGTGGGCAAGGCCTGGGCATTTAGACTCTGCGGGACTTGGGTCAGCAGACAGAAGATGTCACAGCCAGGACTGTCCAGACTCATCCTGCCCAGGCGCTGGGAACCGGGAACCGCAGTGCAGCTCCGCTCCACCCCGCCCAAGCCCCGCCCAAGCCCGGCCTGGCCCCTCCCCGCCCCGCCCCGCCCCGCCCCGCTCCCCGCACTACTCACTAGACGCCGGTGTAGCCAGGTGCGCAGAGGCACTCCCCGGTGCGAGGGTCGCAGCTGGCCCCGTGGCGGCACTGGCACGGCAGCTGGCAGCCCTTGCCGTGGGTGCCCGGCGCGCAGAGCTCCTCGCAGCGCCACCCGCGGAAGCCGGCGGCACACACGCAGGCGCCAGTGATGGGGTTACACAGGGCGCCGTTCTGGCACTGGCACCGGTTGCTGCAGTGGGGACCCCAGTGGTCGCTGTCGCAGCCTGCAAGAGAAGGGATGGTCAGGGTTGAAGGTTGCCCGCCGACTTTCCTTGGAAAGGAGATCAGGAATCGATGCTGATGAGGCCTTCCCGTGTCTGCATCACGAGGGGTGTCCAGGTAGAGGCTTTGGTGCCTCATAACCTCCACCAGTTCTACCACCAAGCCACCCAGAGAATCACACAAGCTGAAAACCGCCGGGACCTTGTTCCCTCAGCACAGTTTCAAAAAGCCTCTCCCAGTCTGGCCATTCTCTCCCAACCAAATGAATGTCCCCAAGCCTCTCTCTCTCCTGTATTGAAATGCTGAAGTGACAAACTGCCTCCCTGTATCTCTGAAACTTTTCTTGGGTGGCTGTCTTTCTCTGTTCCTCTCAGACAGACCCCTTCTCAGCCCATCCACCACCCCTCTTCTCCGTGACTTTATTCCTCCTCTTAGTTGCTCCCCAGTTCAGTCCAGCTCCCATTTCTCTCTTTCCTGCCCTCTTCTCTCTTTTCCCCACACTCATGGGTTTTCTCATCTCTTGCACCTCCCTCTGGGAACAACCCTGCCCCTCTCCTGGCTCCATCTCCCCATCATCCTTGTGTCTCTTTTTCCCTTTCAGTAACACCCACACCCTGGTCACTTCATCTTCAGTTCAATTTCATGACTTCCCAAGCAGCCAGCTTCAGAAGAGGCAGGAAAAAGAAAGGTTTCCCTGGGAGGTTAGAGAGGGTCTTCAAAACCTTTATATGTAATTAAATGTTTCACAGAGTGATTGCTAAGCCAGCTTTACAGAAATCCACTCTACAACTGCGGAAAGGGGAGGAACGGTGAGCTCCAGGAAGACCACACTGCCTGCTGCCACCTTCCATTCTGACCCTCACCTGGTGTGTACAGGACACACAATAGCAAGGTATCTGCACCATAGTTTAATTCCCCTGAATTCTGGAGTGAGGGTGGGGTGTGAGCTGAGGTTTAGACAGGCATAAATAATGTTCTAGGAGAAGTTCAGTGGAGAGAAAGTTCGTCCCCAGCTAGGAGATCAGGCGAGGCTTCCTAGGACAGAAAGCATCTCCAGTGGGCTGTAAAGGCTGTCTCATTTGACTGCCTGATAGAGTGACCACCAGTCTTGCTTTCAGCACTAAAATCCCACATTCCAGGAGGTACCCTGGTCCTGGGCAAGCTGGAATGGCTCCTTACTCTACTGCTTGAAGATACAGATTAGCAGTTGATCATTGTGTCCCTGATTTCTAGAATTTAGACACTCAGAGAGGAACTAGGCAGTTGAGTAAGATCAGGAAGGTGTCATGGGGTAGGCTCAGTATGGCCAGATACAGTGGCACTCCAGTGTGGGGCATGCGCAAGAGTACAAGGTGAGAGTGGCTGGCGAGTACCTGGGTTCTTTGGGGGCCAGAGGGTTATTTGAAAGGATCAATATATCAGCCCCACTAATCTCTTACCTGTCGCTCCCACTAGTTCACTCAAGTCAGATAGTCAAAGTCATGGATCCTGGCCCATCATCCTTTAGAAGACAGAACTAAGTCCCAGAATCCCCAACTTAAAAATTAAAATCCCCAACTTAAAATTCACTTAAAAACATCCCATTCCCCAGCAATGACAGAGAAATGAGGCAGAGCTATAGTGAGTCAATTATCTACTTATATCCCTTCTTCATTCCTGCCCCAAATATTTATACAAACTAAGATGACAAATTATGAGTGATCCACACCCCACACTTCCCACTTGGTGTTACAACAAGGCAAAAATCAAGTCCTTTTATAGTTACAACCTCTACTCAAACTGAAAGAGGCTCATAGGACAGAGTGACAGTAGCAGTCCCACATAGCCCCACCCTGCCCTGTTTTGGGGACACAGACTAGCAGAATTACTGCTGAGGCATTTCTCACTCTCTCTGTTGCCAAACACGTATGCTTGATTCACATAAGCTTAAGGTACCATTGACTCCATTGTAATAATGACAACCACATTTTAAATGCTGTGTGCTGTGCCATTCTGAAAGCTTTATGTACGTTAGCAAAATTTGATTTAGATTTTATTATTTCCCCAATTTACAGATGGGGAGATAAAGGGTCAGAGGAGTTAAGTGATTGACCAAGGTTATGGCAAGGGCAGGCCCAGGTCTTGGGGTTCCCGCTCTCTGCTGCAGGTAAATGGAACACTTTTCTGGAGGATATTCTAAGGAGATAAACTTATAGGTGGCATTGAGGACAGAATGGCAGCTACAAAGCAAAAGGCCAGGGATACCACAGAGCCTGACCACCTCCTCTCTGCTCATCACTGTGAACACCCTTAGGATGCAGAACAAGAGATTATCTTCATTTGTTGGGAACACAGTTATGCCCTAAGACCTTGGTTTTATAGAAAATTGCTGGAGTCCAAAGCCCGTTTGTCCTTGGTGCATCCCAGCGCACACAGCTACTCCTTGCTTATCAGGTGACCTCCATTCTTTCTGGCCCAGCCAAAACCCAGTAGGAAACAGAACTCCCCCTGATAAGGAAGGCAGAATGTCATCACGAAGTCCATGTAATAACACTTGGGCATTTCGATTCCTCTTCTTTCCCACTCCACATTTCCCAAGCTCCGTGAGTGCAGGAAGGGGCCCTGCCTCTTGGAGTTCAGTCTAGCAGGGGCAGGGCTGCTGGAGAAGACCCAGCACATTGTGGAAGTGCCTTAGCAAAGGCAGCTCAGGGGATTAGAGAAGCACGTGCGGACACCCGTGTACGCAGCCTGATGCTCTGGTTTCTCACACCATAGACTGGTGCATGAGCACATGTGTGTGTTTGCCCACCTGTGTATGTTTTATGGGGCTCCTAAAATAAGTGGGAAGAGCTCTGTGCACAGTGGGACATGGAAATAGATGGAAAATATGTGGAGACTAAACAAGCAAAGCTACTTGGAACCATTAATAAAAGGGTCAATAGCCCCTCATATCTAAATTGACAGGAAAAGATTACACCCACTTTAGAATATTCTAATTAGGGAAGCAGGGATATATGTAATCCATCCCAGAGAAATTTCTCCCTGGAGTGATTAAATGGAAAAGAATGTTAGGGTTCACAGGGATAAACTTCAGTTATCTAGAAAATCCACTTAAAAACATCCCATTCCCCAGCAATGACAGAGAAATGAGGCAGAGCTGCAGCAGGTCAATTATCTACTCTGCTGAAGGTGAATTAAAAATCATCATTACTATAATTACAAAAGGATGTTGCATTCTTCTACAGAAAATCGCAAACTCTTTCCAACTTGGCCTTGGACTGTCACCCCATCACACAAGTATTTTCTTTTTTTTTCTCCTGCCACAGACTCTCCTTCTAATTATATTTGGCCCTGGCTGATTTTTTAAGTGGCTATGTCTTCTCTGGGCAGCTACTAAACGCTTAAGGGGCACCCAGAGTGTATGACTAAAGAGTCCCCCCTCCCCGCTGACCACGTCAGACTCTGGGGTTCAGCCTTGTGGGCTCCTGGTACCCCATGGTGGGGGGAGTGGCTTCTCAGTGACTTCACCGTGGGCAGGCTTCTCAGCTGGTGCCTACCATTGATGAGGCGGTTCCCGTGGGCCAGGCCATGAGACAAAAGTAGAGAGTGGGTGTTTCTCACTTATTGTAGCAGGTGCTATTATTATTTCCATCTTGCAGATAAGGAAGAGAGGCTCAGAGAGGTTAAATAACTTGTCCCAGGTGCCACAGCTGGAGAGTGACTGGGAGTCTGAGCTGCAAACACCTGCTGTCCTGCTGGGTGTGGCCTGGTGTTGATGGAAGAGGGGCCTGGGACTCTGGCAGCCAGCCTGGGCTTAATCAGCCATCCTCAATAATCCATAGAGACAGGACTCTCCATGAATGCCTTATTCAGAAGTGGGTTTGTGTGCAGATGGTTGTCATGGGTCCCAGGTTTTCCACAGGTGACCCTATTTCCCATAATTTTATTTTCTTGAGTTACTTTATTGGTTGATTTATTCAGAATTTTCTTACCATATTAAAAGATATGGAACATAAATTTTCCATTTTCATCCTTTTAAGTGTATGACCCCGTGGCATTAATTACACTCACAGCGTGTGTGCCTTAACTTCACCACTTACAAACTTTTCCATTACCCCAAAAAGAAATTCCATAAGCAATTAAGCAATAACTCCCTACTCCAACCCCTTAGCCACCGGGAGACTTTAATTTTCTTTCTAAAAATGTTTGTAGTTGTAGATGGACACCATACCTTTATTTTGTTTACTTAGTTTTTATGTGGTGCTGGGGATCCAACCCAGTGCTTACATGTGCTAGCCAAGCGCTCTACCATTGAGCCACAACCCCAGCCCTAATTTCCTTTCTTGATGTGCGTATTTGCCTATTCTAGATATTTCATATGAGTGGAATCATATCAGTCTTTTGTGTCTGGCTTATTCCACTTAGTATAATGTTTTCAAGGCTCATCAATGTTGTGGCATGATCAGGACTTCATTCTTTTTAAAGACTGAGTGGTATCCCTTGTATGTGAGTTTCCCATTCTGTATTACACATTTATCTGTTGATGAATATTGGGGCGGTTCCCCTTATCGACTATTGTGAATAATGCTGCTATCTATGAACCTTGGTATTTTGTTTTCGTGTTTGTAGTGCTGGAGATTGAATCACAAATACCTTTTTGAGTTCCTGAGGATCATTTATTAAAGGGACACTAGGTATATTCTCTATGCCTTTATTGACTTTTCTACTTTTATTAGGAAAAATCATTTTGTTGGCAACCATTTTTTCCCCCACCACTTTTATATAGGCTTTTTTTTTTTTTTTTTGGCTACTGGGGATTGAACCCAGGGGCACTTAACCACTGAGCCACATCCCCACCCTTTTAAAATATTTTATTTGGTTAAATTGCTAAGTTGCTGAGGCTGGGTTTGAACTTGCAATCCTCCTGCCTCAGCCTCCTGAGTGCTGGGATTACAGGCATGTGCCAATGTGCCTGGCTTGTATAAACTTCTTTACAGAAACTATGTAAGTTTCTGTATAAATT